CACACACACACACACACACACACACACACACACACACACACACACACACTTTGAGGCCGCTGTTGCCTGAGGTTTCTCTCTCTCCCTGACATTAACAGCGTGGAAGATTTCAGCCTGTTCACCTCCGACCCTGTCGCTCCCAGGATTTGGAAATTCCTCAGCAACGCTACAAGAGTAGCCAAGCGCTGGAATTGTAGATGTTTTGTCCCTCCCCAAACCGCAGTCGTGGGCGCTGTGGGGCCAGGTCTCTGATAAAGGGTGCTCAATTACCCTGTGAAATTATAGCCTGGTCGGTTTCCCATTCTCCTTTTTTGAGGCTTTCTCTTCATAACTTCTAAGCCTCTGATTTCTGACTTCGTCTGCTGCTTCAGAAGTATGCCAACAGGCCTTGTGAAGGCAGCCTTCAAAATAAAAACCCTCTTTATGTTGGAAGGCAGAGGAACATAGCAGAGCTCTCCTCGCATTTTCTTCATTTTCCATATAGGGATCGCTCGCCTCAGAATTTCCAGTGCACCAAGGAAGCCGGCTCCACAAACCACAAACACCAGGCTTCACCATCTCCTTGCCTGGGTAGGGCGTTTCTTGTACTATTGGAATTTCCCAGAGTTGAGGTGAAACTGTGAGGTGACTTCAGCTTCTCACAGAGAGAGCAGCTCCAGAATTTAGGAACAAAGTCATGCTGAAACTGCAGGAGGCCGCCCATCTCCCCTGAAAGAGCTTGGCACCGGCGAGGAGTCATGACTGTATCACACATTCGATAACAAACACAGAAGCAAAAAGAAGGCAAGATAAGGCATGGCAAGTAGTCTTACCATAACAGAAGGGCAGAGGTTTGCCTGAAGTCTAGATAAAAGGGTTGGGGATGTCAGGATGCTTTAGAATTCACCCAGCTCCTTCCCAGAGAGAAACACAACTGTCATGACTGTTCTAGAGGCAACAACAATGGGAAGCAAGCAGGAGTCTTTTTTTTTTCTTTTTGCGTCCACATGAAATACATCACACTGTTATCCAATTTTTTGTATTTTTAGGTTTATGGCTCACCATTTAAACATTCAGGTGGTAAGGTCCCCTAGGTTCCTGGATTTCACACAAGTGTTCTGTAACCTGGAAATCATATTACCCCATGTAAATCAGTAACTGGCATAACCTGGATCCTGTTCATTCTTCTTCCTGAGTAGTTCTCAAATCTTTTCAATCCTCTGCATCCCCATTGTAACTAACATATAGATCCCACACTGTCCATTTTTCATAAGTTTTCTGTAAATGTCTTCCAACTGGTTCTACCTCTGAGGGTTTTCCCACCTGGGGTCACCCCACCAGACTGATAGGTGACTTATGCTCTAGTCTTGCTGTTCCTGCTCCTTTTTGCTCCCAGCCCTTTGTATTCCTTGCCATAAACAGTATAGAATCGGTTCTGAACTTTTGATATAGCCCAGAATCATCTGGGATGCTTCTTTAAAAATACTAATCCAGATTACCAGCAGAACCTGGAAATCTATTTTTACCAAGTATCTTGGGGAAATTTTTCCACGGGATAAATTTGGAAAACAATAACTAGCTTGGAATGACTGATTGCTGCTTCCGGAACAATTTCCTTTTTGCCTGCAGAGTTTTGCACATTCCCCTCCCCCTTATCCCCCACCTGGAGCTCCCAGACCTTGACTGTCCAAACTTCCTTCATGACCCAGCTCAAGGGTCTGCTCTGGAAAAACAGGCTGATTTCTACCCCCATCTACCATCTCTATACCCCAAACGTTAATAGAAACCTTTATTGTGGCCCTTAGATGGTTTTGAAAGGGGGCACTATTAATAGTTATACCAGACAGCAGGCATAAACCAGGATGTCCCCAAGATGTAAAGTCACCCTACACTTCACACATGATATATAATGTATTTGTTTACATAGCTGTTCTCACTTCTGTACCATAAGTTTTAAATTGCAGGGACCATTGGTTCATCTTTTCTCTTTGCCAAATTTTCAACGATAAAAACATAGTCTTTTTAAATTGCTGGGACCACATCATATTTGTGATTTATTTTTATTTCTCCAGACATTAGGACATGGCCACATACTTAGTAGGTGGTTCAGTAAATGAACAGAAGAGGAATATTCTAGTTTAGTAATAAATCTTATGAATTTGGCTAGGATGACATAAATTCCTAAAGCCTGACTCCTCCAGGGGAAATCAAGTTTTGGAACTAGCACAGAGTGGAACTTGGAGCAAGAAATGGCCCCCGTAAGATAAAGCCGGACCTATACAGCGATTTCTTGAAACTAGAGAAGCAAATGCCCAGGTTTCTGAACTCTGCTCCTCAACAAGCTCCTGGACTTAATGTGAACAACAATAAAGGAAGTAAGTACTCAATAGCTTGCATTTATTTCATTGTCTAGAAGTTCAAGTAATGAGGCTAACTGACATATCAATTTTCCTGTAATTCTGGAAAAGAATGGGAAATGTTTGAAAACAGATATCTTAACCAAGGTAAACCATTTTGCTGCTGTGTCCTCAGCATCACAGAGCAGAATGGCTGCAAACACATGACCACATAACCAAATGAGACGTATTTGTTTTGGAAATGACAGAAAGTACAGAAAGGGCCCCATCTGTTCTCTTCCCTCCTCTGCTTCTTGTCCTTCACAGAAGCTTTGGATCAACACACCCTGAAAATCTGAAATGTAACTCCTTTAAAACAGTCCTTAATTGTGGTGTTGCCAAGCCAGGCACATCCTTTGCCTATAATGGATGTTCCAGAGGGATCTGCAAGATGGGTTTCTACAGTTAAAAAAAATAACAAGGGGCACCTGGGTGGCTCAGTGGGTTAAAGCCTCTGCCTTCCTTCAGCTCAGGTCATGATCCCAGGGTGGGATCTAGCCGCAGGTTCTCTGCTCAGCAGGGAGCCTGCTTCCCTTCCTCTCTCTCTGCCTACCTGTGATCTCTGTCTGTCAAATAAATAAATAAAATCTTTAAAAAAAATAACAAAATAAAATGAAAGGGTAAGCAAACTCAAACAGGCAAACAACTAACCATTTCATAGCATAGCTATTCTAGTAAAGCCTGTAGGAATGGGTAGGCGTTGGGTGCAAATGTAGTTGGAGCCTAATTGGTATGGATCCCATTTACCTGGTAAAAAGTTTAACTCAAGCTGAATTTCATCCTGTAGTGGCGGGGAGCAAACACCAGAACCTCCCTAGAGCAAGGCAGTGATGAGGCCGTGGCGGTAGCTGGGCCATTTGGAGAAGCCTGCTGTGGCGAAGGGGCAGCCCTACCCAGTTCCTGATGCCCAGCATTGCCATTTAACAATCTTCCAAGAGAAACTCAGATTGTGGATTTCATAAGACATCTTCCAATGTTTAATGTTCTTACTAATTTTAATTGTTTTAAACCTTGAGGAGGCCAACATGGTGCTGGATCAAAACAAAGCCATCAGTGTGCCTGGCGGCCCAGGGAACCTAGATGGACAGAGGGGAGTCATCAGGCTTTGAGCAGGCTTTGAGCAAAAGTAACATTTCCATTTAGAAAGAACATTCTGGTAACAACCTGGGGGATGGGAGGGGAAGAGTCAAGACTGGAAGACCCAGAGAACTGCATTTCCCTGCCCCAAACCACCTAGCGAAAGCAGACGGCCTCTGCCCCAGAGGGTAAAGAAGCAGAATCGGAATTTGTATCCTTAGCTTTCACTCTACTTGTTCAGGAAGCATCAGAGCTGTAAGCAATCCAAGCACGATGCAAATACTTTTACAGGGGAAGGACAGGAAAACCTACTGCTAAGGCAACTGAGTTTCTGACAGCCAGTAAAACGAGAAAGCATCTGCTCTGAGATTATGGGAGTGGAGGAGGCAGGGGAGGAGGGGAAGGCCAGCATGGTAAGAGAGCATCGGGGCTGAAGTAGCCGCAGAGAAAACCGAAAGGTCAGTTAGGCAGGCAGACAAACCCGTCAATATATCCGTCTTCTCTCACAATCTAGGAATCTGGTAAGGAAGAGATACATCGAATTCAACTAAGATTATATGCCAGATGGATGATGTCACCAAAGTGGATGGGCAGCTTTGAAGCATGTAGGCAAAGTACTGGCCCGGAGAACAGCAACTCAGTCGATGTGCCTCAGTGGAACCCCTGCAGAACGCCCCCCAACTCCCCAACCCTGCTTTTTGAGAGGCATCTGATCATGGGATGAGGGTTCCAAGACATGGTGGGGAATTCCCCGCACCCGGTTACTCCATCAGCCTGATCCTTGAATGCTCTCTCCTTACTCACTACAGGTCCTTGCAAGGTCCCTAAGACATAACGACTTGACAGTACTTTATATCAATAAAGTTGCATCTGATCCTTATAATCATTCTCTGCGGTAGTGGGGCAGGTCTTCTCATTCTCAGTTTGCAGGTGAGGTAGCTGAAGCAGAAAGGGCAACCACCTGCCTAACACCTTACAGCTAACTGCCGCCAGAGCTGAATCTAGACGGCTAGTCTGTCAGTACCTTCGGTGCACTATCACACTGGAAGAAAGCAGAATGTCCTTGCAGCCACTGGGTAGCCTGCCATTCCGTCAGCTGGACACTCCTCTCAATATACCGCTGCTGCAGTCCCTGCTTCCTGCTCACCTGGCATGAAAGCCGCAGCCAAGAATACCTAGCCCCCCTCCACCCCCAATGCCAGCAGGAGTCCTGCTTTCCCAGCTGACCTCAGTCTAACCAGGCAACAACTGTGCTGATGTCTGCACAAGACAACATGGCCAACAAGAGCATCCGACATATTCAAATATGTTAACGTTACAGTCTGAACCTTGTGAGATCAGATTGTATTCTTACTTATAGGCTACTGTCATCTGTAGAATTACAATCTTTCCTCCACTACCCAAACACACCCAAATCAGAATTTATATGATGCATTTGCGCTGAAAATTATATCACAAAGAGAACTTCCTTTCTAATTTTTTAAGAGAAGAGCCAGATTTATGTCCATGGTTAGTACTCTTTTAGAGC